GCCCCAACATTATTCCTGCTGGGTCCACTTCTGTAGTGGGAAAGCAATCCTGGATACTAGAGAAGCTGATGATCTGGTCTACTTAGATGTAAATCCAGAAGAATAGCTCTCTGCCTCTTCCAGAAGGAGGAACAAGATTAGAGTACATTTTGTAATTAATCAATATTTGCTGAGCACCTTCTTCAAGGTTCCCACAGGGTATCGGTGGACTAAACCTGATGCAGAGCGGGACTAGCGCAGCGCTGTCACTGGTTGCTCCCACTAACCTGTTGTCTGTAACACCTTAAAAGCACAAAGACAACATGGCAGCAGGACCAGAATTTGGAATTCAAAGCTCTGAAATGTCCCGTTGGTGCCAGTGAAACGGCTGAACAGGCAGGGCTCTGATTTTTATGAGCAGCTTGTAGGTCTGCATACCTGAGCAGCCTTCCCAGCATGGAGGGTTTGCTGCCTTGCTGGCAGATGTAAAAGTGGCTTCACACAGCAGCGTGAAAGCGGGTTTTAGTCCCTGCTGCCGAAGGGGGTGTTATGGCCATTGATCTCTTTGCATATGAGTGCAAACCGTTCCCACTGTGGGAGCACAGCCTGGTCACGACATCAGGGTGAGATGCAAATAACCCCAATGATGACCCAGCTCTGCAAACACTTAGGAGTGTACTTGCATGTAAACCTGAATGTGCAACTGCATCTTCAGGTCGCTGTGCTATCACAGGACAGCCCAGATGTACTCATTGAACTCCCATCCAGCTTCTGCTTTAAGCTGGCATTTGGTCCCTCTTGCCAATCCATCCACCAGCTGTGGCCCCAGCACAAGGGAGAATTCAGAGATGACGGAAGAAACCTTCCAGTGTTAGCAATGCAGGCACAGGAAAAGTTGCTAATCCAAAGAAAGTAACAAAATCACCTTAACTCTGACCTGCAGCAATGCCCTGAGTGAAGAAGCTGGTCAAATTATCATCTCAGCTGTCCCTAACTGCCTTGCTCTGCCAGGGGCCATGAGAGCTGGTGTGTGTGTTGAGGGGTCCTGCTGCCCAGGGGAAACATGGCTCTGCAATCCCACATAGCCACCAACTCACCAAGTGTCCTTAGAGGCCACATCCAGGAGTGGGGTGTGGGGGTCTTCGTCCCTTTTGTGCTGTGGAGTCTTCCAGAGGAAAGGAGAAAAGTCCACCACAATAGGGTCATGTATACATGAGGTGGAGGAGCAATGTAATGCCCCAGAAAGCAGAGCTGGGCACCTGATGAGACAGATGGAGCTTGCTCAGGAGTCAATTAGAGGGAAGACTTTCCACATGGCCCTTTGGGGCAAGAGCCCAACTTTACATTGGCTTATTCATCCTCTATTTGTGCTGTGTCTCTTTCCTGACCATAAGGGCTATGTCTACATTACCAGGTCGTGTGGACCAACAGAAGAGGGTCTGCAGAGTGAAGCAGTTGGTGGGCACCATCCACATTTGCCATACTACATGGCATGTGTCCTCATGGGGTACTGGGCTTCTGTCTTGCTTGCAGTGGGTTTAAGACACTTGCACACAAGTCCCCATCTCGTTGGATTCCCTATAAAAGGCTGATTACCCCACTGAGAGGAGGAATTATTTGGGGAAAAGAAGATCTCTGGAGGATTGATGCCAGCACTGAGACAGCAAGGGGAGACCAGAAGGAAGACAACGGAGGACTGGTATGGTGAGGGAACCCCTTGGGTTGGAGATTTGGGGTCTAAAGACCTTCTTGAGGTGAAGTCATGGTTGCTGTTTTAACTGCTCTGATTCCTTCCCCATCCTGTTTACACAGAGCAGATGCCAGTGCAGGTCACGCCTGGTGAAGGGAGGGTGCTGAGGGCACCATGATGCTCCCCAGATCTCAGGGGAAAAGCTGCCATCTCAGACCCTGCCCCCGAGGCATGAGTCCTGCAGCCAGAGGATGAGGTGGTTACTCCAGGGCTTGTGTAAGGAAAGCAGACCATAATGGCTCTTTCTGCTGCCTTTCCCCACAAATAGCTGTGTTTTTTCATCTCACGCCTACTCATTTAGCTTAAGCTTGCAAGTGGGTACTGGCTCCCAAGAAAATTTAAGCAGGTTTTTTTTTAACGAGGCTGGTTTAATGTTATTTTGATTTAATTTTTTTAATTGTTGCTTGTAGCACGTTAGCTTTCAGAACGTCACTGGGGTGCCAGGAGCTGTACAAGTATGACTGAGAGACACTGCTGGCTATAACGTACAGCAGAGACACAGGAAGAGAAGGGACATGCTTAGGTGGATCATCATATCAGTGGCAGAGTGAGGACCAGCTATTGAGTCTCATTTAAAATCATCTCTTAGCAGTGGAATACCAATGCAATCCTGTGGGACTGGCCACATTGGTCTGAGCCACTGGTCCATCTAGTCTGCATTCTTTCTCTGAAAACAATCATGATTTTATGCAGTACATGGTCAGTCAAGTTATCCTACTAATGGGGAACTGCTTCTTGACCCCCACCAAGAGCACTGGACCTTCACAATCCTTCAGGAACAGCTCTCTGTCTCTGGGCTGGTCGCCACTTGCTGCGACTCTGTTCCAGCTAGAATTTCTTATTTCTAGACAAGGAGCAGGGAAGCAGCAGAGAAAGGCAAGTGTGAGAGCATTTCCCCCTCCTGAGCAGCCTGCCTGCAAAGAGAAATCCTCTACCTCTGTAATCACTGATTTTACAATTGGAGAAATAAGGAGGTGGCTTGACCCACCTGAGAAAACCCAGCAACCCTGGTCATACAGTCCTGCCTGTGGTGGCGAAAAACCCAAACCAAGTCCCAAACAATACCCACCTCCTTCTCCCTGCCCTGGCAGTCTTGGCTGAGGACAATGAAAGAGTTAAACAAGATGAGACAAACAGATTAGTGGGGAGGGAGGATCCCAACCTGAGCCTGGCACCAGATGTACTGGAGTGCGTGCACCAAACATACACAGTATTTAATAATTCCTGAGAATTGCCATGGTAATGAAGTGCAGAGTCAGGTTGTTATGGTAACAGCTTTTTTTTTTAGGCAGGGAGGCATTACCCAGGTTGTAACCTCAATCCAGACTGAACATGTTTCTGAGAGCCCAAAAAATAAAAAAGAAGTAAAATAAAATCAAATTAGATAAGTAGCAGTTTCCTGTCTCTTGTCTGGCAGTTCTGGGCTTGTTCTGTAGGTAGGTGGAGGGAACCAGGTTGTTCCAGACACACATTGCCTTGAAAAGCCTGGGGAATGGCTGGAGCAGTTCTCTGCAGGTCCAAAACCGAGTGCTGATGGGGGTGAGGGGCTGGACCCCTCTCATGGGTGCGTCTGGGATGCTCCGCCACTACCTGGTTTCCCTGCAGACCTCTGGCCTGGCTTCAGGCGAGTCCCCAGCTGGCTAACGGGAAGGACACATGTGTCTCTCCAAGTGTATACGCACAAGAGAGCAGTCATGGACAAGCCCTTATCCAAGCTGAGCCCACAGAAGGATGCTGTGACCCCAGTTCACAGCCTGCCTACGGTTACCTGCATCCCAAGCGATGAAGGTCCTAAAGCTGGTCTCCAAGATAAGGCAGGCAGTTTGGGGTTGGAAAGGAGGTAACAGATGACTTTTCCTGAAGCCTCATGACAGATCTAAGAAGAAAACACAGGTTTCCTGAGCTCTGGCAAGGCCTCCAGGCTGCTGTGGTCCCCAAAGGGGCACCCATCAAGCAAGAATGGAAACCTCCTGTGTCCCCCTCCTGCCTTCCCATCAATGGACAAAAAGCCACTTCCATCTCCCCTCCCAAGCCATCCCCTCCAGCAAGTGTGTCAGGTTTGTCCAGCTGATTCTCATATTGAATTTTAATTTAATACTGGTTAAATCAGCAGCTTTGTGAGCCCGTTTTCTATTAAGGAAGCTGAGGCAGTGCATGTAAGAGCTCACTTAGCAGAGAGATGGCTTGAAATATGCAGTGCAATTACTCAGGAACCTGGGTCCATAAATCCCCACTGCAGCTCCGTGTGGTTCTCTTGTATCGGCTGTGTGAAAGCCATTAGCCTCTAGATAAAGCCTCTGTAGTCCATTAGCTCTGCCAGAGAGGGACAAGTTGATCCCATGAGAGTCAGGTACTCAAG